CCAATCTTGATGCCACGTTGTTCTTCATATAGTCTAGCTCCTCAGATTATTTGCTCAGCATATAGATTGAGTAAGTATGATGAAAGGATATAACTCTGACACACTCCCTTCTTGATTTTACACCATGCAGTATCACCTTGTTCTGTTTGAACAACAGCCTCCAGGTCTATGTAGAGTTTCCTCATGAACACAATTAAGTGTTCTGGAATTCCCATTCTTCTCAATGTTGTCCACAATTTGTTATGATCCACACAATCAAAATGCTTTTGCATAGTCAACAGAACACAAGTAAACATCTTTCTGGTATTCTTTGCTTTGAGCCAAGATCTTTGCTTTGACATCAGCAATGATATCCCTTGTTCCACGTCCTCTTCTGAATCCAGCTTGCACCCCTGGAAGTTCTATGTCAATATACTGCTGCAACAATTTTTGAATTATCTTCAGTAAGATTTTACTTGCGTCCAATATTAATGATATTGTTCTACAATTTCCACATTCTGTGGGATCACCTTTCTTTGGAATGGGTACAAATATGGATTTCTTCCAGTCAGTTGGCCAGGTTGCTGTCTTCCAAATCTCTTGGCATAACTGAATGATTGCCTCCCATAGGGCATCCATTTGTTGAAACATCTCAATGGGTAGTCTATCAATTCCTGGAGCCTTCTTCTTGGACAATTCCTTCAGTGCAGCTTCAACTTCTTCCTTCAATGTCTTTGTTCCTTAATCATATTGATCATATGCCACCTCCTGAAATGGATGAAGATCTACAAGTTCTCTTTGGTAGAGTGACTCTGTGTATTCCTCCCATCTTCTTTTGATGCTTCCTGCATCATTCAGTATTTTGCCATAGAATCTTTCAATATTGCAATGTGAGGCTTAAATTTTTTCTTCAGTTCTTTTAGCTAAAGAAATTCTGAGTGTGTTCTTTCCTTTTGGTTTTCTAACTGGAAGTCTCTGCACATTTCATTATAGTAATTGGCTTTGTCTGCTTGAGCTGCTCTTTGAAATCTTCTGTTCAGCTCTTTTATCTTGTCATTTCTTCCCTTTGCTTTGTCTACTCTCCACTTAAGGGCAAGTTTCAGAGTCTCTTCTGTCATCCATTTTGGTCTTTCTTTTTTTCTCATCTTTTTAATGACTTCTTGCTTTCTTCATGGATGATGTTTTTGATGTCATCCCATAATTCTTGTGGGTTTTGATCACTGGTGTTCAATGCAGGAAATCTATTCTTTAGATGGTCTCTAAATTCAGGAGGGGTGTATTCAAGATTATATTTTGCTCTCATGGACTTGTTTTAATTGTCTTCAACTTCATGTTGAACTTGCATATGAGCAATTGATAGTCTGTTCTACAATCAGCTCCTGGTCTGGTTTTGGCTGAAGATATTGAGCTTTTCCATACCCTCTTGCCACAGTTGTAGTCAATATGATTCCTGTGTACTCCATTTGGCAACCCATGTGTATAGCATCTGTTTGTGTTGCTGAAAACAGATATTTGCAATGAATAAGTTGTTGGTCTTGCAAAATTCTATCATGCGATCTCCAGCATTATTTCTGTCACCAAGGCCAAATTTTTCAAATACCAGTGATTCTTCTTTGTTTCCAACTTTTGCATTCCAATCACCAATGATAATTAACACATCCTGATTGCACATTCCATCAATTTCGGCTGCAGAAAGTGCTAAAAATTTTCAATTTCTTCATTTTTGGCTTTGGTGGTTGGTGCATAAATTTGAATAATAGTCATATTAACTGGTCTTCCTTGTTGGCATATGGATATTATCCTATCACTGACAGCATTGTATTGTGGGACAGATCTTGAAACATGCTTTGTGATGATGAATGTTATGCATTCCTCTTCAAATTGTCATTCCCAGCATAGTAGATCATATGGTTGTGTGATTCAAAATGGCCAAAAACAGTCAATTTCAGCTCACTAATACCTAGGATATCAATCTTTATGTGTTCCATTTCATTTTTGACAACTTCCAATTTTTCTAGATTCATACTTTGTACATTCCATGTTCTGATTATTAATGGATGTTTGCAGCTGTTTCTCCTCAATTTGATTCATGTCATGTCAGCAAATGGAAGTCCTGAAAGCTTTACTTTATCCATATCAGTAAAGTTGGTTTTACTCTGATGATGCAGCTCTTTCCCAGTCATATTTTGAGAGCCTTTCAACGTAAGTGGCTCCTCCTCCTGCACTGTATAAGACAATGTTTCCAAGCTATTCATATAGTTGCCTAGCAATGTAACAGACAGTGTTTCTCTGCTATTCATAAGATTTTCCCTTTCAGAAGTGGATGGTCTCTTCCTTCTTCCTAGTCTGTCTCAGTCTGCAAGCCACCCTGACACCTGTTCACCATGTGCAACCCTGCTGGCATTTGAAACACTGGTGGCACAGCCTCAAGCCTCACAGTAATACACCACCACCACAGTACAACAAACTGACCGACAAGTTTGTCTCCCTTAGCTGTTTGAAACCTCTCCACCCTCCCCTTACCTGGATACCTGCTGCTTGCTTGCTGTGTCCTGGTCCTCCTGGCTTTGCTTTCCTTTCTTCTCCACTTTCTGGCCACTTAGGGGGTGGGGCCTGGGTCTCTCCCCTTACTTGGATCCCTCTGCTACTGCTCTCTCTGTGCTAGTGCCCCTGGCTTTCCTTTCCTTTTATTTTCCTTAGGCATTATGCCACCTTATATTTTGACAGTTGTTAACATGTGATACGCAGATGAGCAACAACAGAATCATCTGAGAACTTGCAAGAAATTCAAATTCTCTGGCCCCAACCCAGAGCTACTTAATCAGATATGCTAGGGATGGCCCAGCAATCTATGTTTTATCAATCCTTCCAGGTGACTGTGATACAAGCTGCAATCTGAAAACCACTGGTGTATTGCAAGTGTCTGTTTTTTTGCTCACTCTCATAGTAGATTATAGGCTATTTTAAGACAAAAGGTGTGGCATTATCTCTTCCCTGTGATTTCATCCGTGCCCAGTTTAGAGTTTGGTATGTTGTTGATGCACAATAACAATATGTTTTAATGCATGAACAAATGAATGAATTAATGAATGACAATATGAACTTTCTTGTGAGCTTCAGTTCCATGTCTCTGATGGCTTCTTGTGAAATTTGTATAGAGAATCAAGAGTTACTCAAAACTCATCCATTCTGATAGAAAAGTTGACATCTAATGTCACTCATCAATCTTATCCTGCACAACCATTGCACACATTCATCTTTCCCACCCAGACTGACAGGTGTGCCTCTTTAGTGCCTAAGACACTTGACTGCTAACCAGAAGTCTGGCGGTTCAAACCTACCAGCCACTCCTCGGAAGGAAGGTGGGGCAATCTACTTCTGTAGTGTTCCTGCCTCAGAAACCCAAGGAGGGGTCGCTCTGAATCGGGTCTGACTCAACAGCACATAACAACAACAACAATATAACCTTTCTAATCATTGCTCTAGGAAAAAAAAACTTAGTACTCATCTTCATTTGAACAATAACTTGTATTTTGACTATATAGTGAAACATATTTACCAGAGAAAATCTGAAATATTCAGTTATATACACACAAAAGAAAATAAGAAAATAATGGAAATTTCATCAGCAAGAGAGATCCATTGGTAATTTTTGCTTGTATTGGTCCAACTTTCATTTCTATTATGTTTGCATGTATTTTATATGTATAAATAGCATTCTATGGAAGATAGCACTTTGTTACCTATTTTTACTGTACTATTGTGGAAGTTTTTCTGTGTCTTTAAGTATTATTTTCCACAGAATTGTTAATGGCTGCTTGGAATTTCTGGCAATAATCTCTGACCTGTCCTCATCTTCCTTTAATTAGTTGAAAGTCCTGTCAAATTCTTTTCATTACCTCCACAGTAGCAGTCTGGGTTCTTCCTCATTCTTGTAATCGATCAGTGGCCTCCTATGTTTGGCTGCCAAATTAATTTTTCTAAAGTGTAGTTCTGAGAAAAATGGCTCAAAAGTCAACAAGGACTCTACAGTGCCTTCCAAATAAGGCCACATCTCTGAGCAGAACAGTCCAGGACCCTTGCTGCATACCCAGCCTTCAAATGAGAGTTCACCACTCTCTCAGCATTTCTCCTGCTTTGTCACCACTTGAATATTGCTACATCTCTGCTCCAACATTCCTTCCCCCAATGATTTTACTCAAAAGTCCTCTTCTACACGAGGCCTTATTAAAATTGCACACCTTCTACCTTCTGCATTCCTTACCCTCTTCCCTTCTTTATATGTTCTCATCAGTTATTATAGGCATATAACCATATACTTTACTTATTTAAGATGCTAATTGTCTCCATGACTGGAAAATAAGCTCAATGAAGGCAGTGATTGTTGCCTGTTTCTTGTTTATTGCCATGTCTCTGTTACCTAGAGCAGAGCTTCATGCATAAAAGACACTCAGAATAAATATATCTGAAGCACTGAGTGAAGAAATGGTTGAATGAGGGAATGACTATCTCCTGGTAAAATTCTATAAGCCCTAAGGGAAATCAAAGCTTTTAGTCCAGTGATTTGCATATAATGGACATTATCTGCTTGTGCCTGTGAATCCAAATGTTCAGTTCAAATACTATTCTTCCCTGAAGTCATTGCTAAGCACTTCAGAGGAAGGCACTTTCTTTGCTCTCTAATGCCTATTGTCCATTATTCATTTGTATGCTATTTATTGTATACTGAATTGATTATAGTCATATGTTTTTACTCTTCTCATTGACTAATATAAAACGTCTTTAAAGGCAGTCACCAATGAGCTTTGTATCTCCTGCATCATTTGCTGCACTCAATAGTTTTAAAGTTAAATTATTTCCAAAAGCAAAGAGGAAGTTACATGTGCGAGTATTTTATTGGTTTCCCTGTTGTTAAAGGAAGAATGAATCTAATCTTAAAAAAGAAAAAAAAAAATCTGTTATCTGCACCATGGTAAATATTCCCCAAAACATCACCATGTAAACATTCTATATCTTTATAGGTCATTAATGCTGCACTTGCTCTGGCTGCAAGACCCAAAAGCCAAGTGGTCAAAAATACCATGGAAATGTATAAGCGCATGTGGGAGAATCACATACATGTCCTCACTGAAGCTGTAGATGACATTACCAGCATCGATGACTTCCTTGCTGTATCTGGTATGTTTCTGATTTTTAAAATTATGAAATAGCTCTTGCTGATTTTTTTTTAAGCAGGATAATATTCCATATAATTAGACACTATAATGAGATGTTCTTTATTAATGGATCTTCTGCCAGCAATGTGTTGCTATGTTGTTACAGCAGGTGTGCCACCAGTGACTCTAGGATTATGAGCTTCATGCCCTGCATGTCTTATAACTCATCAATTTATACTAGGTCTCCAAAGAAAATTTGTGGTCAAAACAATAGAAAACAGTAGCTAGAAGTCTTAGGCTTTTCTTGACTTTTATAATAAATCATCTTTTATTTTATTATCTTCACTCTACTGTAATATTTTGTGATCCCTGGACTTCTTTTCCAACTAAATTCTAATAATCCATTTGGGGGAAAAAAAAAAAAAATATATATATATATATATATATATATATATGGAAAAACTTTTCATTGAGTTGAGATAAAATAGTATACTTCTCCTAGCACCACATATTTTTGAGTAGTTCTGGTCTAAGACATCAAAGAAACAAATCTAAACATCAAACTACAGGAATAATGCAGAAGCTTGAGATTCCAAATGAGGTTCAGATGAGTCTCTCACCACAGGTTAGAATGGCTTCCCAAAGAAGGTGAAATCACTCTCATAAACATCCATTCTCAGAAGCATAACTCATGTTTTAATTGTGACAACAAAGAACTAAACACTTGCTAGTCTTTTGTTCATTTTTTTGTTTTCCTATTAATGAGTGAGTATCTCCTGAAAGCTTCTCTTTAAAGTAAATTGTATTATCCCCTACCCTCCATTTGTTTTGAGAGAAGGATTTTCATTGAATGTGATCCTTTTTGAAAACATACAAATACTCCTGACTACCTAGCATCATTTTGATTTTTAGTTTCTTGATGTTGTTGCTTTTCTGTCTAACCTATCAAGTTCATTACTTCCATAAATGTATATATTCTCATGCTGAGCTATGGCTAATATATTTTCATGATATGCTATTGAAAAATAATGTTATAATGAATAATTTTAAAATAATTTCACTTCTGTAAAGTATAATATTTTGAAAATACAGAAAATGTATGAAGAAAATATGAATAGCTCCACACCCCTCTTCAGGAGTCCCTGGGTATAGTAAATGGTTAAGAGTTCAGCTACTAATCAAAAAATTGGAAGTTTGAATCTACCCAGATGTGGCATGCAAGAGAGGCCTGGTGATCAACCTAAGAGAGGTCACAGTCATTGAAAATCCTATGCACAGTTATATTCTGAAAAACATAGGTTTGCCGTGAGTCAGGGTTGACTCAATGACAACTTGCTTATACTTTTATTCATAAATAAAAACCAGGTATATCTGATTCATTTGTCTCAAGCATTTTTCCATGTATTTTAAAAATGCTGTCAAGTAATTGTCCATGCCATATGTAATTATTTGCTTTTTTCACACAATATTCAGCTGTATTTTCACACTATTACATGCTTTTAAAAAAATCATTCATTTAGCAGTTCTGCTTTTGCTAACATTTAGATAAATTCTAATTTTAATTATTAGAAGCAAAGAAAAGTTAAACAACATATTTTTGTCTGTTTCTTATTGCCTTAGCGTATATTTTTAGATGTGAATCCAATACACATCTTATATAGGAACAGTCTTTTATAATTTAATTTTTTAATGCTTTTGTTGTTAGGCACTGTTAAGTAAGTTCTTAGTCATAACAACCCTATATACAAATGAACAAAACACTGACTGGTCCTGTGCCATCCTCACAACTGTTGCTATATTTGAGCCCAATGGTGTAGCCACTATGTCAATCTATATAATTGAGGATCTTCTTTTATGTGGACCCTCTACTTTACCAAGCATGATGTCCTTCTCTGGAGTCTTGTCCTCCCTAATAATATGTCTAAAATAGCTGAGAAAAAGTCTTGCCATCCTCTATTCTATGGAAATGCTGGGTTATATATTTTAGTTGGTTCTTATGGCTACAAGGTAAATAACCTATTCATACTAATTGATGTAATGGTAGTTTAATATAAAAATACAAAAGGCACAATAAGGAGACCCACCAGAACACAAAGGTACAGGGACCATAATTGTTAGGCCTTGGGTGGAACATATAGTTTTCTCTCAGCTACTAGCCTAAAGGTTGGTTTTTTAAAGTTACACAGAAGAGCCATGGAAGAAAGGCCTGACAATCAAATTCCACCAAGAAATTTTCTATAGGACAGTTCTATTCTGTTACACATGGGCTTCCATGATTCATTATCAACTCAATGGAAAGGGGTTTGTTTTTGGGTTTCATTTCATGAGAGAATCCCCGGATATTGCAAGCAGTTTAATCCACTCTGCAGCTAACTGAAAGTCTGGAGGTTTGAGTGTGCCTGGAGGCAATTTGAAGAAAGGCCTGGTGATCTACTTCTGAAAAATAAGCCATTGACACTCTATGAACACAGTTCTCCTTTGATACACATGAGGTTGCAACTAGTCAAAATGACTTGATGACAACTGGTACTGGTAGTGAACCATGAGAGCCGTGAGAGGCTTGGTATCCAAGAAGCACATGGATCTTCACAATTGGAGCTTGTGGCTTTTCCTTCAAGAGATGAATTTACAGACATAGTAACTTTCTGTGTCTGCTCCTTTCAGTGGACTATTTAGCAGTACATAATATTTTTCCTGCAAGTAACAGAAAATTCACATAAAAGTTGCTTACGTGACAATTAATTATGTCATGTAACTAGATGTTTGAGATAGTTGGTCCTAAGCTTACTCATTAAAAAGACAGGAAAGAAAGAAAGAAAAGTCCAAAGTGAATGTCAGAAGAGACTCTGAAACTTGCTCTTAAAAATAGAGCAGCTAAAGTGAGTAGAAGAAATGATGAAGCAAGAGCTGAACAGAAGATTTCTAAGAGTGGCTCAAGAACACCTAGTGAAGTATTATAATGTGCAAAGACCTAGTGTTAGAAAACCAACAGAGAAGAACATGCTCAGCATTTCTCAAGCTGAAAGAATTAAAGAAAACATTCAAGCCTTAACATGCAATATTGAAGGAGTCTATGGGCAAAATTTTGAATAATGCAGGAAGCATCAAAAGAAGATGGAAGGAATACAGAAAATCACTGTACCAAAAAGAATTGGTCAAAGTTCACCCATTTCAGGAGTTAGTATATGATCCAGAGCTGAAGGCATTGAAGGGAGAAGTCCAGGCTGCATTGAAGGCATTAGTGAAAAACAAGGCTCAAGGAATGGGTGGAATGCCCATTGAAATGTTTCAATAAATGGATGCAAAGCTGCAGTTGCTCACTCATCTATGCTAAGAAATTTGGAAAAAAAAAAAAAAAAAAAAAAAAAAAAACTACCTAAACAACCACTGGAAGAGATTCATATTCATGTCCATTCCAAATAATGTGATCTTACAAAATGCAGAAATGATTGAAAAATATCAATAATATCAAATACAAGTAAAATTTTCCAGAAGATAACTCAAAATCAATTGCAGCAGGGAATGTTGACAGGAAACTGCCAAAATTTCAAACTGTATTCAGAAGAAGATGTGGAATGAGGGATATCATTGCTTTTGTGAGATGGATCTTGCCTGAGAGCAAAGAATACCAGGAAGATGTTTTTGTGTTTCATTTTCTGTGCAAAGACTTTTGACTGGGAGGATCATAACAAATTATGGATGACATTGCAAAGAATCACAATTCCAGAACACTTCATTGTGCTCATAAGGAGTTTGTTCAAAGACCAAGAGGTAGTCATTCAAACAGAATAAGGAGATAATGAATGATTTAAAATGAACAAAGGTATGTGTCATGGTTATTTTCTATCACCATACTTACTCATTTGTATTCTGAGGAAATAATCCTAGAAGGTGAACCATATGAAGAAGAATGCATCACCAGAGTTGAAGGAAGACTCATTAACAGTCTGCAATATAGAGATGACACAACATTGCTTGCTGAAAGCAAAGCACTTACTGACAAAGATCAAAGCCTACGGCCTTGAGTGTGGATTACACCTCAGCATAAAGGAAACAAAAATCCTCACAATAAGCAACCAATAAGTAATGTCATGATACACGGGAAAAAGATTGACACTGTCAAAGATTTCATTTTACTTGGATCCACATTCAACACCCCTGGAAGTCAAGAAATCAAACAACATATTTCATGAGGAAAATCTGCTGGAAAAGACTTTTTTAAAGTGTTATAAAGCACAGATTTCACTTTGTTGACTAAGGTGTGCCTGATCCAAGACATGGTATTTTCAATCACCTCATATGCATATGAAAGCTGGACAATGAACAAGGATGATTGAAGAATTGATGCATTTGAATTCTGGTGTTGGTGCAGAATATTGAATGGACTGACAGAAGAACGGACAAATCTGTCTTGGAGATGTCCAGCCAAAATGCTTCTTAGAAGAGAGGATAGTGAGACTTTCATCTCACATACTTTGGACATGTTATTTAGGAGGCATAAATCTCTGGAGAAGGCCATCATGCTTGTAAAAGCAGAGGATGAGCAAAAAGAGAGACCCTCAATGATATGGATTGACCCAGTGACTGTAACAATGGGCTCAAACATAACAAAGTTTGTGAGGATATTGCAAGACAGGGCTGTGTTACGTTCTGTTGTGCATAGGGTCTCTATGTGTTGGAACCGACTTAAAAGCATACAACATTAACAACAAGGTTTACTCACCTTAGATTACTAGAAACTTACAGATGAGCGATTCAGCTTGTGGTAAGTAGTATCTTTTCAGTAACAGAGTTTAGAATTGATAGTACAAGATGATAATAAAAAGTAGACTAATATTTAATCTCTTGCATTATTATTTTTAGATTCTCTACAGACAATGCATCCTTTAATTTCCTCTACCCACAACAAACTACTTTCACTGCCTTGCCCTTCTGATGCCTACATTGATAGTGGTTCAAATTATTAATACTCTGTGTCAGCATATCTAGGGGCTGTTCACTTTCTCACATGGCTGCATCTTA